CTCGCGCGCACATTCGCCTTGCAGTTTATAGAAAGTTTTATAAACGTGAGGATTTTTCGCGCCCCGCTTGTTGTTTCTGTGCCGTACATTTCGCACTTCGTCCTTTCTTCGTCGCCCACGGATTCAAATTAAAACTCGTCTGCTTCAAAAAGTTTTGAAAACACATTAAGTATCGACTTAACAAAATTCCTATGTACTTTCCGTGCTTCTTTCGAAGGTAATGTAGTAGTACACTCAACCTTCGAGAAGGTTGAAGGAGGAACACTTTTGGAGGTCTTTTTATTTTCGCCCAAGTTGTGTAATCATACACAGCCGGTTGTATAAAAAAATTTCCACTTAAAACTCGCGTTTTTACGCAGGCTGTGCGCAATGTGCATTCGATACGCAGATGGACGTCGGCGCGCGAAATTAGTTAAATTAAAATCGATTAGGATTTTCGACTGCGCGCAGGAAGAGAGCAAAAATTCGTTTGCGTTTCGTTTCGGTTCGAGCGGAAGGTATGCCGTGTGCGAATTTCGGGCTCGCTCGCGTTCGCACAAAACGAGCGCGGATGGGAAATAAGCGCAATTAATCACAAATTGCCGTAATGCGGGGCGACGACGGCTCCGATGCCAAGCATCGCGCGCGCCTCGCACACATACACCAAGCACCGAGTATCGCGGCGGCAGTTACAGTTGCCCGGCGCCTCCACCGCCCTCCTCTTGCACGCGCGCAGACATGCACGCTGCTCGTGACGACGGATTTAATGAGTGTTTACGCTCACTACTAGAATTTCAGCGTATTATCGCAAATGGGCATCGCTTATTGCTAATTAATTTCGCATGACGTTCTTCGATTTCCTTTTCAACGCTTTACCTGCAGCACACGCGCTCTTTCAGCATTAAACTGCAAATTGGGAAAAATCAGAAAAATATCAATCGCTGCTGGCTGAAATTGCTTTTAGAGTGCTGCAGGATGCGATGCACTACATTCACTGTGAATGCGTTATTTACTATTTTGTTTTGTCTCTTTATGCGGACGAAAATGGGCGCCTATTAACGCTCGAAAGATCTTCTCCCTGCAAGAAAGATGACGGCTTTAAATCCATTACACGTGCTTGCTGTTGATGAATCCGGGAATATTTATCGCGCGACATGGCGGAAATATTTAATAATGTAACGTTGTTGTAAACTTAGTACCTAAATGTAATAATTTTGAGCGTCTCTCCGTGCTCCGCTGCTGCTCACATGAGCGAATGAGTCGGGATCCCGGGCACGTCACGGCACTGAAACGAAAGTTCGCTTAGCTCATTTATCAACTAAGGTGCTTCACACACGCGTGCGCTTGGCTATATCAGCACGGCGGAGAGTAATGTTGTTTTCTGTTCGCGACGCAGCGCCGGCGAACAGATAGATTCGTTCGAACGTATGACGTGCGTGTAAGAACCCGTAGTTACATGCGAACTTATTAATTAATTTTGAACAAATTGCTGTTTTGGCACGACGCTCGCGCTCCCTTCGCACGGCATCCAATATATCTGAATTTACAAACATGCATTTGCCGCAGCCCACGCGCTGAGGTATATATTTTATGACTACCACACATGCTTCAAAGAGTTACTTTGGGGGTTTGAACCCGTTTTTTTTATTCGGTGGACAGAAAAACGTTAAAAGCGACCGTGCCGGAACAATTATATTTTCGTGTGCTGCATTGCGCTTGTGGGGTCTCTCGTCGCAAAGTCTCTTTGTAAATTTATTTTGCAAGTTTATTAAGTCGGGGCCTCGCGTAATGAAAAGAGGATATTATATCTCCTGCGACGTTAATTACCCCTTTGTTTCTATTTCACGGACCCTTACACGCACTTAATCAATTGGAATCTTATTAAAACGCGACCCTGTGCGCGATGTGCTGTGGTGGTCCCAGGATTAATGGAAAACCCGATGGTTTTCGCTTTTGTCTCTCCGCGTGGTGCGGTCGAATTAGAATTTTCCGATTGCGCTCGGTGGCTTTCCGCCCTGGCTTACATTGGGATACGCCAGTGTCCGATGGAGGTTTTTTTTTTGCCGCCCCCTGCCATTCTTCTATATCGGGAATCTTTTTGGGTTGACTTTTAATAAAGGCACGTTTGCTTCCGTCGAACGCATGAATGGACACACGTTTTTTTGGCATCCCGGCGTGTTTGCGTCGCTTTTTCGCCCCTGATTTGCGGATTCTTTTTTATATTGTTGTTCATTTGAGAGAAAAAATAAAATAAAGCTGGGTGGCGGAGGCGCCGGGCTACAAATACTAGCAAACAGCGGAGATCGTCTGATCGAGCATTGGGGCGATATTTATTGGCCGATTTTAAAGCCATCGCGGCAAGCTTTGTGCACAGTTACTTTTTTAATTAAATCTATTGCTTTTAAGTCGGTTTTCCGCGCAAACGAATCGACACCGCGCTCGCGCACACTGCCGGAGTAAAACAAAGCGGGTGTATAAAATAGGAAAAGTTTGCGTTTGTGAATTTGCGCTCGTATTTTCATTGCCCGACTGCTATTTTAATTGCGTCAAAAGCGTTTTTATTGCATCAGCGTTTAAATGCAGCTCGGTATTTCTTGATGATATTAGTTCGCTTGCTATACTCGCATATCGCTCCAACACAAGGATTTGTTTTGAATTATAGAAATGCCGCTGATTAGTTTATTGTTGGAGTGTTTGTCGTTTAATGTTATTGCCACTCGTTCCGCGCGCCCGTTTTCTCTGTCTACCTTGCGCCGCCGCTCGCTGTGATTCCTCGTTCACTCTATAGTCTAGTTTGGTGCGCGGTCTCTAGCGATTGTGCGGCCCCGGTTCCCCGCTCTTGCATTATGTAGATTCGAGTGGCATGCCCGAGATAGTAGACGTATTCGAAACGATGTGGGAATTTGAATCGCGTGCGTCTTAATAAACTAGAGTAGATTCCCAATTCCGAGAGCACCTTCTTCAAGCCGTGACGCACGAAAGCGAAATACAAACACACGCGCAGATGACGACATAGCCCATGGCCCTGTATCCCCGGTGTGTGCGGTGCGGTCTCGTTGAAACGGCGTTAGAAAATAGTTTTATTTATAAGTGGGATCTACTCGTGCGCCAGCAATGCATGCGGAAGGAAAGCGATGGAAAGCGAGAAACTAGAGGGGCGTGTGGAGGAGGCAAAACAAACCGTGTGTGTCGTGCATCTACTTATCACCCAGTCCGTCGGGTGCTCGAAATCCTCGGAGGGTTTACCGCGCCTGTATTACGACGCTCCGTGCTTCGCTTTCCGCCGAGATGAGGAAAAAATACAAAACGTAAAAACGAAGAAAAACTGCACACTTCGGCAGGCTGAAGCGCGTGTGTAGATATATATGGATTCGGCGAGGCCAATTCAATTTATCGCCGAGGTAGTATTTTAAAATTTAATGTAACCCTAAAATAAATGAAAATCGATGCATCTTGCTGCATGCATGTAGAGTGTGCGAGAGTGGGAGCGTTGATTTCTCTCGTTTCGAAAGCTCGCCGCGCTTAAATCTCATACAAATAGAATGGGACGAGGCCCGAGTTATTTTAAGCTACCCCCATTTGCGGCGTAATGAGTACATTTGCGGCAATTTCGAAGAGCGCGCCACGCCGAGGGTTGCGAATAGCGCGAAATTAGATTTATCCGTTTGGCATGCATTTTTTATATTTCCGAGTACCCGCAACAGCCGTGCGGCCATACACGATGCGCATATTACTTTTATGGCCTCGCGAATGTGTGCGAAGGCGGACTGGCGGGCGTTATGCGAAAAACATTCCAGAATCAAAGTGGTAACTCTGTCTCTACGCGCGTTTTCTGCGCCCCACGCGCACTTTCCTCGAAATTAAATAATTTTTTTCGTTCTACATTATGCACTTTCATATACATGCAAATATATTTCGAGAGCGAGTCGCACCGTGCGAAAATAATAATAAAAAAAGACCACGCTGCCGCTCAGCGCGAAAATGAGAATGTGCGCGTTCGTAAAGCTTAGTCCGGTAAAACCGCCTCACGCTTCTCTTCCTGCCGCCGCACTGCTCATCCTTCCGAGGTGGGTTTTACGTGCGTTCGTCGTAATAGAGCGTGCGAGAAAAGCGCGCAAGATAAATTTGAGGGATTTTCCGTTTTAATTACGTGCAGATAAAGAGTGCGCACGGATACTCTGCGTGATGTAGCAACTTTCTTTCTTCCATCTTGCAATTGCTCATTTTGCCGGGCATTATACCGCCATAAATGAATAAGTATTTAAAGGTTAAATAATTGAACGGGCAAATCTTCGTTCTATCTCGTTGAGTTGTCAATATGTACGCTGGACTGTGTGCGCCAACACCTAATGATGGTCCGAAGTGGAAGCAAGGGTATGGGAACGTCGCCCGATGGCGCTTGGGGAAAGAAAAAGTTTCAACTAAAATATTTACATAGCGTTAACTGAATTCGCTGCTGCTACCGTTCGCTCACTTGCTCTTCCTTGAGATTGCTTGCTTACTTATTCGAACTCCGTTTAAGCACACACACATAGAGTGGAGAAGAGGATTGAAGAAAAAGTGGACTAATGCCGTGTTCGTCTGTCTTGAAGAAAAAGTTGCTGGTGAGCGTTTCGCGGACGGTTCGGAATGAAGCAACTCCTCTGACAAGAAAGAGTTTTAAATTAGACGGACGAAGCCTTTATGTATATATGAGCTCGTCTTAACGAGAAAGAATATCCGTCTTGTTTGATGTTTGATCATTATTATCACTCGCCGCGTGAGATTCTATTTTTGTTAAGTAAGATAAAATTTTGCTGATTCTGCTGTGCTCGGGGAAGAAAATCCGTGTTTGACTAACGTAACAATTAATTTATGCCACACGCGCCAATTAGAACTTTTTGATTTGGGTTTGTTTTTCTGACCCCGAAAAGAAAAATAGAATTTGTGCGCAAATATTTAAACACAACTTGTTTACGTGTGAGTGTTCCAGAGAACCTTCGAATCGACTTTGCTGATTTATATGCTTGTTGTTGTTTCAGATGGTAACCAGGACGAAAAAAATATTCGTTGGAGGCCTATCGGCGCCCACGACCCTCGAGGACGTCAAAAGTTACTTCGAGCAGTTCGGTCCGGTGAGTACCCTCGAAATTTATCTTTATTACGTTTACGAAAATTAGAAATAACATAAAAATGATTTTATTGTTGGTATGCGGATTGCGTCGGGAAATTTTTTGCTTGAATCTATCAATGGATTGTCTGTAAGTCGCGACTTCCATCGACGTCTTCAACAGCGCGCTCACAGAATGAAATCGAGTTGGAATAAAATGCTTCTCTTGTCTTTCTGCGAACGCTGCGTCGCAAAAGATCTCATAACATTGAATATAATGGAACGAAAATACTTGGCCGCATTTAAAGCTGACTTGCGTGTGCACGACGGATGAATTTTTCCGCGGAAGCTGCAGTTATAACGCTGCGGGGCGTCAGGCCGCAATCGATTTTTGAGAGTCTAATAAAATTGCACAGAACTACCAACTGATAATACCAAACGTTTTTGATGCGCGACCAAGTAAGTTATGCTCCTGTGAATTATTGTAAACTGCATTTTGTTTACGTCACGCTGCACTTTGCACACGTCGCGTATGTAAAAATAATTGGATAAGATGATACTCGTGTGAAATTTCTTCTCCACTTCGCTAAGAAAACTGCACCAGCACGTGCTGTGCTGAATAGCTGAATAAATCATCTTATCGCAGACGTAGTTGTACGGTTGTAAAACGTTCAAGAGTGAATTTTATTTTAAACCGCGCGTTTCTTTCGATGTGCAACGACAATGTTTTCCCTACTGATTGTTGAAAGTACGCCGTGGAGCAAACAATAAGCATTTTCATGAATTATGCACGTTTCTTTGTTTTTGTCAATCCCTGTGCGCTGGTAGCAACCATGAGGAGCATGTACCATTGAACCATTACATTATGCGTCCTTTCTATGTATAATGGTCGTTCAGGTCCTTTCGAAAAGCCAACCGGCATACGAAAGCTCCCGGATACAGGTTGCAATCGTTTCGCGCATCTGCTTCACGGATCCGTCGAACTTAACCTTGTTTGAGGGTGGAAGATTTCCATATAATATTCCATTTCGACCGACTAATAGCACTCGCCGAGGTGCGCAACATAGCAACCGACGCCAAAAACCGCGTCATCTGCGTACGCCCGGTTATATTAGGCGAAATTGTTGCGGCCCACTCTCATGCGCGACGCTCTCGACATTTGCATGCATTATTTACCACTTTTTACTATCCGCCTGCGACATATCCCTCATCGCATCACCCGGGAGGATACATACCCGTTTGCAAAACGCCAACACATCACACGACACCGACGCTTTCGACATTAATTCGCATTTTTGTTCGTTCGGAAAACATACGCAATTGGAAGCAAATTGAACCAAACGCGCAAACAAGCAATTATTCCTCACATTAAATTGTCAATTAGTTATTTTATTGTAATGCACATTGGTCGAAACGCAGCAAAGTCGTATTTTATAGGGCGCCAACCGCAATGGCAGTACGCACTCGCTCATCTAGGGGCTGTTAGTTGCGGTTGGCATTTGAATTTGAAATGACGCGTATCGCGCGACGCACCACCGGCTCGGCCGGGACAAATTAACGCTTTAATTAGATTTAAATTGTTTAAATTTATCATCGGACGTAACGCACGCGCGACATTTAATTTCTTTTTATTATCCAGCGCTCGTAAAATTCGACATGTCACAACATGTTGATTTTCCCAATCGCATATACTATTTTAAATAAATTTAAAATGAAATTACAATCAGTTTTGATCGCTGAGTTTACACATTATTCTGGGTACAACCATGCGAATTTACCGGTTGCTGCATGTTGGTTATGCTCATTTTAATCTCATGGTTTGCTATTTTTTCGCGAAAGCCGTATTTTTTAGTGCACCACCAGCCGGTGGCAATGAGTAGTTGAAGAGCCGGTCTCGGTTTTATGATTTTCGATGTTTTTGCCTTGGGGGTCATAAAACGTCAAGTATTACAACTTATACGCTCCCAGTCATACGGCGCTCGTGCATATATTTTCCGAAACAGCGGCGCGAATACGGATATAGGTATACCTCGTACAATGAAGTGGAAGTGAAACTGGAAGTAGAAGAGAATGGAAAAAAAAGAAAGGAATCGCCTTTTGATACTTCCGTTCTGTTGAATGCATAATGCGGAGGAAATCATTCTTGTATTTATTATATTGCCGTTATGGGGATGACTTTTTCCCGTCTCATGAGTTTTCGTCTTTTTTTTTCTTGGTTTCTTCCACATCTAGTGGCAGTAATTTTTTTTTCTCGACTGTGTTATAGCTGGAATATTAATTTCTATGCAAACTCGTTTGCGCATTACGATATTGTTATTACGTCGTGCGAGCAGCGACACACGACTGAATAACGTGTACGCGAAGGTGTTAATTTAATAGCATTAAATTTCTCTCGTCTTCTCTTCTCTATCTATCGTTGGCGGTGACGGCGTTTATGCGCGCTAGAACGTTGGAAAGTGCAATAATTGCCGTTTGGCGCGACCGTAAAGTACTGCCGGGATGGCGCTGCATAGAGGTGATTTGCGATTTTTATTCGCGTGTAAAATTAATAGACCACGAGCTATGGAATGCTGCGATATCGCACCTAGGGCAGCGATCATTGGCATGGTGGAGGCGCCAGGCGATATCTCAAATTGAACTCTTCTGGAGAGCTTCGGTTCACGCCAGTTGGTCTTTATTTATGTTCATGTTCGTTCTTAATTTAGGTATTACTTTGTAAAATATCGACGGCTGCGCCCGCCAGAAAGCCAGAAGGCCCAGGTCTGTTCCGGAAGTGAAAATGTTTCTAACGCTAATTTCGTCAATGAATAAAGGGACGGTTAGCAACACCTTGTATCTTATGTAGTATCCGTTATACATTGCTCCGCGCTACAAGTGATACCTCCTCTGCCGCGTGGTTGTGTAATGTGTCGAAACGCGCCAGTTATTTTTGTAATTAATTATCTCTGAAGGCTTGCGGTCGGAATCGCCTAGTTTTTGATCATTCTGCCTCCGATCTTCCTGCGGCGCAGCGATATCTTGCCCTGTTCTTCGTGTTCGTTCATTGTTCGCCGCCTTGCGAGCATGAGCGCGATCGTTTGCCAAACAAACCCACTGATATCTCAGAGCTTGCGGAGCTTCCGCGCGCATTTACTGGCAATCACATATATAGTTGTGGTCGGCTTGCGTCTGTGATGGTGTCGCCGCAGCCACACTATCCGACGGAGCGCGCGCGTGGCAAGTTATTTTCTGGTGTTCCGAAGATCGACTTTCTCGCCCGCTGCGACCATTCGGGAATCACCATCGAGATAATAGCGAATCTACCCGACTATTAAATAAAATGATTGCGATTCTCGTTTGGTCCATCTATTCGCCTCCCGCCCCTTATCCGTCTTCATAGCGAGTCGGATGCTACATAAACCGGCAAAAAATCGCCGTGGCTTAGAGCGGCATTAGTCTTTCTAGGCTTCTGGGAGGTTTCCGCCCGTGGGTTTTCTCCAAATAGAATCATGAAATCCAATTTAAAATGCTTCTCATTTTCGTCTTCTGTCTGCTTGCGCTGGCGGCACGGCAGTTTCTCGCCGTCGCTCTCAACCTAACTCAACGTTGGTTGGCTGATGCGTTCTAATATCCGAGCACCATTAGCACACTTTTTATTTACCGTCGCTGGCGTCTCGCCGACCGAGCGTGTATATCACGATACCACGACAAACACGATAAAAACGTTTCGTGAGAAAGCTCCGGTTGCCTTGTAAAAGATTGTCTTCTCCGAAACCGTCGGACATAGTACATCTCCGCCGGTCGTCTTCCAGTGCGTACCCATTTCACGGCCAGCGGTGTGTTGGTTAAACCTAGCGTGATGGAGAGATCGCCGGATTTACTCGGTCGAGCCTAACTAAGTCCCGTGTCACTGGCACAGCGGGCGACGGGGGGGGCGGCGGCAGCATAGTCCTACTACGCCACATTTGCTTTATCTAGGCATCTTGCATCGTTCAGGGCAATACCGCAGTTCTCGGTGACGCAGCGTCAAGAAAGAGACCCGGGCGCAACGCACAACCATCGGATTTAATTAAATTGATATCTATTAACTTCTCGTAGACTTCCTGAATGTAAATAAGTTTCCTCTTGCGCGCAACCAAGCGGCAACCATACACGACCGACTCCTTTTCCATTACGCTCTTGCTGGTAAACGAGGACTACTTGTAAGTGTTGAACTTCAGGTCGTGAGGAAGGGAAGGAGACTTCCTTCCGCTACTATGTGGTCTTCTTTGACGAGTTGGTTTGCTAGAATTGTCGTTTATTTTCCTCCTTAATACTGGGTCCTTTGGTTTTAACGAAAATGTTTGATACAAAAATATTTTTTATTAATATTTCCATATGGAACACCTGGTAGCAAATGATGCAGTGGTGTGGTGTGTGTTTATCTCAATACGATTCACTTCGTCTTTGCTTTCCTGCTTGAAGTTTCTCATATGTCTTGGAATCCGTAGTGCTCGCGCGAGTTGAAATGCTGCCAGTCTGCGTGTGCGATACGCGAGCGCAGTATCGGCAAAAAGGGAGGAAGATTGTGTTCGGAGATTACTTCGTTTATACAAGTGGAAATGTTTAGATTACGTCTATAGAACATTTCATGCACTGCGCCTCTTGCGAGCGCACGAGACGCACTAATCAACCGGATCCATCTCACCCCGACGCCGGCGTCTGCTGCAATACTGCAGAGAGTATCAATCCGCGGATTGCGAAAATATCAAATCGTTGCTGAACATGCACACTGGGAGCGATGCCATCAAACATGAAAAATACGCGTCCCTCCGCAGCGGCGAATAACAGTTTCGAAACATTGCGCAGCAAACATTTGATTTGCTCATTTTTGTTACGCCGTTGTTTCGATAAACATCGGGGGTGAAGTTTCCATCGACTTGGTGCGGTTGGTTTGGTTGGCGGGTGTTGTGTGTGCAGTTAAAGTTAGGTAGTTATAATGCAATTATCATTGCGGGCTTGGCCTATTCGTTTGGCGCAAACTTTTGCCCCGAAAACCATAATTTG